AATCTGTGACCTTCATCCCTGCACCTTCCTTCTTCCTCTCCCTTCCAGGCTGCCTCCTCCTCTCCAGGGGAGCGTCAAGAAAGCTCTTTTTTGGTTGCAGGAGGGGCATCTGGTTCTGCCAGGCTGGAAAGCTGAGGCAGGATTTGAGGAAGAATCACTAGACTCCGCAGAGCCTGGACTCGTTTCTTCTTCTCCCTCTCTGCTTCTGGCTTGCTCCATCCCTTCCTCTCTCCCCACACCACTTCCTGAGACTCACTGGTGTGTGGGGCAGGGGACAAGGACCGTGCCGCTGCAGGAGTTCTGGGAAGTTGTGGCTGTCGAGGATGGGGGTCTGTGGGTACCTGTTCCTGCCCTGGAAGTGCCTCGTGGTCGTGTCTCTCAGGCTGCTGTTCCTTGTACCCACAGGAGTGCCCGTGAGAAGCGGAGATGCCACCTTCCCCAAAGCTATGGACAACGTGACGGTCCGGCAGGGGGAGAGCGCCACCCTCAGGTAGGGAGCTGTACTTCAGCGGGGGACTGAGCCCCTCTATGTGTTTATGTGGGTAGGGGCGATCAAGAGAGAGAACAGAAGGCTTGCATGGGGGATTGCAGCATGTGAGAGGGACTTTGCAGGTTCCAGAGGTGCCCACTTGCATACTGTGGCAGCTGACACCCATTCTCCTGGACAAGTTTGTCGTTTTCTCCAGCTTCTCTGGTCCAGGATCATATAAGTGAACACTGAGGTCCATGCTTGGGACTACATGTAGCTTTGAGTCCATGACATAGCTAGATTCACTTTTGTCTTGGCACCAAGATGAGAGCAGAGAGCCCTGGAATTGACACACTGGGGGATCATATAAAATGGCTGAGTTCCCCTGTAGCTCTCTCACAGGCTGGAAGGTATGAGATAAAGCAGGAAAATGCTCAAGATAGGCTGGCTTGTTCCTCTTAGAAAGATACCTAAAATTCCAGGCTCTGCAATTGCTAGTGCTGGGCCACGGCCCTTTATGAGTCTGCTCAAGATGCAGCCATCCATGTCAACCCTGTGTGGTGATCCTGGGTCCCCTATTATAAATTATGAGGGCAGTTTTATCTTTGCAGGCTCAGGACAAGAAGCGGAAACATGTAGCTTTTATGCAACGACATCACTCCTGTGCAAAAAGCACAATAGGAATGCTTTTTGTTTTACCTTAATGAGTTACAGAGAATCACTTACATGCTCCAGGCAGAGGGGTGGAGATTCTCGGAATATGAACCTTTGGGGACTGGACTTGCTGCAGCAGAGACTTTAATAGAAATTCAGCCACCACTTTCCACCAGCTCAGCAGATATCATCTTTTATGCTTTTAATGAGGCAGTTCTGGTCCTAGGAGACAGATTCAGGGACGTCCCAGCTTAACTCTGACTCACAATCTACACAGGGTGAATGTCTTTGCCCTATCTCTGACTTTGATGATTATGGTAAGAATAAAATATTCTGCCCCAGATTCTGCAGCCAAAAAACCTGGCTTCTCCAAAGAATGGAGGAGGGTGGTTGTCCTTCTTGTTCTTCTCTTAGATCCCATGATTGAACCCTCTCTGCATCTAGAAAAACTTCTCCCCGGGGAAGAAAATAAAGACCACTTAGGACACCAACTATCCTTTCCTAAGCCGAATCTTCTTTTGAGCTAAGGAACAGGTTTCAGAACACTGCCTGCTGGTAATCGGGGGCCTCAGGAGGAGAGAGAAAAAATAGGATAGACACAGACCTTCCCTGACAGCAAGAGGGAAACCCCCAGCTTGTCCCAGAGTAGAATGTAATATGCCTATTTCATTGTCTCAAAGAAGTTTCAGGAGTCCCCTCCCTGAGAAATGACTTGTGGATGCACATTTGCAATGAATCAGTCAACTTAGAGATCGGAGTAGCACCTGGGCTACAGTGCATATTTACCAAGGAGATGCTGGTAAAAGTAGGTGCAAAGGGATGTTGACGCTGCCATGTACCTCTCTTTATTTTCTAATCTACTACTGGGTGCAAAGAGTCCCACCATTTAATAAAGCTTCAGTGATGAACTTTCCAAAACCCTCTTTCCTTTTCCTGCCCCTAAAAGTTAAAATCAGAAACAAAAAACTTGAGCTGCTTTCTAGGTTGCAATAAGACTATTCCACCAGCAGAGGGCCGGCCAGCTACAATCTACTTTTTTTTTTTTTTTTTTTTTTATTAGCTGCTGGCCTGTTTTCATGATCTTCAATTCTAATGTTTAGCAGCTGGGCTTGGTAATGGGAATGAGAGTGAAAAAAAGAAAAAGCTGAATAGTTGCTTTTTGTGCTTTGTGGAGAGGAAAAAACCTTATATGTTTGAATACAAATGTTATCTGTTACCTGATTGCATGCTTTATTTTATAAAAAGTAAGCACACGTTTTATGTTGATTTTGCCTCTCCTCTTCAGTAAAATTTGCCCTGAAGTAGAGAAATTCAGCACATTGTCCACATTTTAATCTCTTTATATCCTCTTTCTTTTTACTTCTTGTAGTTTCTTCTTTTATTGCTTTCTTCATTTTTATCAATGCCTCCATTTTATATGCGTTTGCCTATTATTCATTCTCTTCCTTTTTTGCCTTCATCACTTAAATTTTATTATTCTCCGATATTTTAAGGTTCTGATTTTACTACTAGCGTAATGTTTCTTAAAACAACATAAATTTCTCTGAAGATTTGGGGGAGTCCTGATGTCTCTCCTTTTGTTTTCTATGCTCCTTTGGTATTGGCTAACATCTGTGTTCCCATCTCAATGAAAAACTTATTTGTTGGTACCATGCTTCCAGTCTCTGGAATTCCATAGCCTCAACCCCAGATAAACATGTCATGTTTTATCTTGCATTGTGTTTTGCTTTTTTTAAAAATGTAATTCTTAAGTATAGTCACTCTTGAGTCTCCTTACAGATGTTCCATTAGGAATTCAGTGTTTGGGAATTTAGTGTTCTGAATGCATCAAATATTCAGAAAGTATTGAAAATAATTGAATGATTCCCACACCCATCAGCCACAGGAAGTCTTTTCAAATGTGGCTGCCCTGGATCAAACTATCCCAAGCTTGTGTCAAATCTTGAATAAAATCACATTGGAGACCAAAGACTGAGTAAGAAAAGCAAAAGAATGGAGAGAACTGGGTTCTTCTTTGAATTTTCTAGTGAGAAATTCCCCAGTTTAGATACAGATGATTTCCTTCCTTGGAGATATCATTTTAATGTGTTAGATCCTTGATTGCATCGAGGGATGTTTAGAAAGTGATGTGCCAAAGACGACACTGAAGTTTTGAACGTGCATGAAACTCATTTATATAGGTGAAGCAATATTATCTTCCTCATAACTACTTCACAGAGCTACTTAAAAAGTAAAAATAATTATTTGAATATTGAGTTATTTTGCCTTCTTGGAAGAGAGAGGATATGGAAAAAATGAAGGTGGTATTCACTACAGCCGAATTCTAGCTTCTATGAATCTGATTTGAATTCATTATTACAAATGGGCCCTTTTGGCCAGAATCATTTCATTACAATTATCTGCTGTTGGTTTAAAAATGTTCTGTGTCTTTCCATTAGATTAGATATGACAAGTCTCTAAAAATCCTGTGTCTGAATCAGTGCCCACATCAGGAAAGGAGCCCAGGATGCTCAGTGTGGTTGGCTAGTGTCTATTAAGCCATTTCAATTGCAGTGATGATGGCCAGATGTGTTTTCTTCATGGGCCTCAATCTCCTTTAAATTTGCTTTAGTTTCTCATTGGGACCACATTATGAATATTTTGAGCTGGTGGTATAGGATGGAGGTAGGAGTTGTTGCTGTAACTGTTCCTCTAAATGGTAAAAGTCCCACCAATATACTGTTTTATTTTTATTTTTATATGGCAGGATAATCAGGTTTGATAATCCAGGCTTGCTGATCTGGGATTATGCTTAATAACTCTTTTCTAAAATGTCCCTGCATTTTCATTTGGAGTTCTGAGCTAATCCTTTTGGAACCAAGTATTTGAGGGTTACCTACAGCCGAGGAATAATCTGAGCAGCAGGATTTTGCCAAAGCAGTGGGGCAGTCAAGCTCCCAAGTACAACATTCTGTTGTTTGCCTGGGTGTTTCTCTATATTTTGTACTTATGATCAGCAGCTTTTCTTTTTGTGTAAATTAAAAAATTCAGAGTAACTGCTAAATTATTCAAAACAAGTACATGATTTTACATTTCAGTGCTTAAGTTGCCAAAGCTAAATGAGGATTTGAGGAAGTGCAAAGGCTTGGCTCTTGGTCTGGGAAGATGAAGACAGAAAAGACATTGAAGCAGAGTAGGTCCACAGGGTCCCTTCAAGTGGCAGTGCTGACCCAGCTACCTACTGGCAAGCTTTTTAAAAATTCGCCTTCCAGGTTCTAGCCAATGCAATCAAAATCTCTGGAGTTGGGCATAGGTGTGGGCACTTAAAAAATCTCTCCCAGAATTTCTAATGTGGAATTAGAGTTGAGACTCACTGCTCTAAAGCCCGTTCTTGCCCCAGAGCATCTGAACAAGGCTGGTCTCCATTGGTCCTACCCCCCTGTAAGTGTTCTCTCCATGCCCGTATGTACTTTACCATTCACAGGCTACCTTGGCTTCTAGAAAGAGCACTGTGCTCAGGGACCTGAATACCTGGGTTTGGTTCTTATTCTACTACTATATGGTTTTGAGCACTTCAGTTCAAGTGCGGACACATGAGAACAATATCTGCCGAATCTATGCCATCAGGTGAGATGAAGTATATGGTGTTTTTCTGTTTAACTATAAAGCAACATATATATATATGTTGTCACTGGTGGTACATGGAACTCCTCAATAACAACCTGTAATACTCTCAATATTTTCCAGTTTCATCTGCCCTACCTTCTGCCCCCAAAGATACTAATTTCTTCCCAATTCCACTCAGCATCCTTTCTGCTTGTAGTCAAGAATTACTCTAATCTGAATTCCAATAATGCTTGCTACAGATTTCTATTCTAATAGATACACACCATGGACCTGCCACTTATGTGTAGTTTTGGTTAGACTTTGAGCTCCTGCCAGTTAGGAATCATGTCTTATGTACTGAGTACATATGTGGTAGATACTAAGGATTAAAATAATAAATATTTGTTAAATGCTTTAATCCATCTTAACCAGACTCAGTCTCTTACAATATATTATTACCCCAGCAGCAACAAAGTGCTTATATTTAAAGGGTTTTAGTCTTGTCAAAATATGATGCTGGGATATTCATGTACAGCAGTTGGTTAGAGATGTTGGAGGCCAGGGACTTTTGGGTTTTGCTTAAATCACTTGCCAGAGGGGACAGTTGAATCCATCTTTGGTTGCAATCTGATCTGAAACTATGCAAAAGGCTTCACTATCCCTGAGGGCAAGACACTGAGCAGGGCAGCAGAGTTGAGAGGAATCTTCTTGGTGACAATAGAGCAATATATGTGGAAGTGAGGCTGTCTCTGTGGAGGTTTGCCTTGCTGTAGATACGAGGA